CTCAGTGCTGGGCAGAAGAGCGGAGGCCGTGCTGCCCCTCAGTGCTGGGCAGAAGAGCGGAGGCCGTGCTGCCCCTCAGTGCTGGGCAGAAGAGCGGAGGCCGTGCTGCCCCTCAGTGCTGGGCAGAAGAGCTGCCGCCCTCTGCTGTTCGATCAGTGAGAGCAGCGCTCCCTCTGCTGTTCGATCAGTTAGCAACACTTCAGCCGCTGCCACGTTCTGAAAAGCAGCCTTCCTCTCAGACAACTCACATGCAAGTGAAATCTGCTTGCTGGCGCCCACGGGAACCTCAGGTGCTGACTGCGGCAGGACAGCCAGCTAGCATGTCATTCGCTGGGTAGCACACTCAGATCGGCAGTCAGCAAAGGACGAACAGAGTCAGAGGGAAGGGCAACAGCAGCATTCTAACAGGAGTTAGCGTGCCCTAGCCACTTTCTCCAGGAGGAGAATGGAAAAGCAAGCCTAGACTCGGCTCAGGCTGGGCTCCCCGCACAGGAAGAAAGGCCTTCAGAAGGGGAACTTCATTGGATTGACAAGGCTTGAAATCAAGATGTAACCAGGGTATCTTCCAGCTGGGTCTTCCCTGTCCCTTAAGATCTAAATAAATTTTGCTTCAAATCTTACAGCCTGTGGAAATCAGAAGTCTCAGACTTCTCAGGGCCTTTGCTCTCACCGGGGCTGTGCCTGGTATCTTTGCTCAGCAACGTCATCATTCCTGGTTCTCACAGAAGCTTGCTTAGAAAACAGCTCAATGACTCTGGTAACCCAAACCACTGCCTTCCGGTCAATCCGACTGACATACAGTGAGCCTACAGGAAGGCTCCACAGAGGTTCCGAAGCTGTAAATCTGAACGGAAGCAGACTGCCTCCCTTTTCTCTTCTGGAGTGACTGGTGGGTTTGAACTGTTGACCTTTCGAGGAGCCTAATGCTTAACCCCCAGTGCCACCAGGGCTCTTTACCAAAAGTGGGTGTTGTTTCGCATCCTAGCATATAGTTAACCGTCATACTAGACTTTCCTTTGCTCTGTGGTCAGCGGCCCTGCTGTATCTACCTTTCCTGCTTGATAGAGATGCAGGATCTTGAGCCCCATCTCAGGCTTGCAAAGCAAACCCTGCCTTTTACTGAGATGCAAGGAGATCTGATTGCTCAGTAGAGGGCGACAGGCACAGGGCAAAAGCCCTCTGTGTCACATCCACTGAGGCGAGTGCTCTTCGCTCTGGCCCTTCCTCTGGGCAGCACCCCATCTAGCTTCTCTCTTCATCTCCCCCTGCCCCCCCACCCCAGTTTGTGCTTGCATCTGCTCCTCCTCCTGTTCACTGAAGAACCAGCAGATTGCTGCCCGTATTCCCTACAGAGCAGCCCCCTTTTCTAGAGTCTCAGTGGCAGCCACCCCAAGGCCCGTAAGGTCTTACCTTTGGTCAGCCTTCACTGCTACCCCAAGCTTGTGAAGTATTGAGCTCAGGGAGGACCTCCCTAAGAGCTACTCGGATACCAGTTACTATGTATGATAGAATAAACATCTCCATTGCATTACGAAAAAAGAAAACTCGGGGATTGTAAAGAGAGCTAGTTTCTAAACAGATCCCTACACCAAACCAAGATGATAAACCACGGTGTGTGAACTGGAGAAACTGAGGTTCCAGCAGATAGACCTTGCCGTCAGTAACCCAACAGATACACTGTGCCACCAGGGCTGCTTCGTGGTATAAAAGGATGGATTTCGTTTTTTCTAGAGAAGAGACTGCTCCTGGAAACGTGTATCTCCACATCCCTCTGCGACGTGATGGTGATGCTTTGTTTTAGGTTCTGTCTAGTCGGGTTGGACTCTGGACTGTGTGTGCAGCAGAACGGAACACTGCCTCGTCCAGTGCCAGCCTCACCACTGCTGTACCTTGAGCCCACTGCTGCAGCCACCGTTGTCCTCTTTTCCCCTGAGCTGCCACCTTGCCAAGCATGACACCCTTCTCCGAGGACGGGTCGCTCCTGAAGCTGTGTGGTGTGGTGCTCCTCTGAACATTCAAGTCTCTCTCAGGACCACGTGAGCAGGTCACACTCGTAACCTTTTTCTTCTTCTCCCTTGCTTTGCTTCCAGGAAGCGGGAGGAAGAAAGCAAGCGGAAAGAGGCGGAACAGCAGCAGAAGGGAAGGCTGAGCCCAGGTGCCAGCAGACCCCAGCCCCTTGCCCATCCGCCCAGCACCCCGGATCAGCCCAGCAGGACCCCCGGCAAACAGCCTCCCGCCAGCAACAGCACCCAGGGCTCTACGCAGAGGGACTGCCCGGGGTCTGTAGCAGGGTCTCCAGACAGAGCCGCCCAGAAGGAACAAGCTGTTTCCCCAAACTTGCAAGACACAGACTCCAGAAAGCCAAGTGGTACGGACATTTCCTTTGTTCTCTGATGGCCACCATGCAGTGAGGGGCCTTTTGATAGGTATAAATGGTTCCAATTATTTACATTTAAGATAATTACTAATATATCAGTGCTTAAGTTTATTTTCTGTGGTTCTCTTTTCTTACCTTCCTGAAATGCTCTTTAAACATTTGTAGAGTTTCATCTTGACTATTTATGGTGTTTTTGAGTGTAACTCTATGTATGGTTTTTATAGTGGTTGCTCTGGGTATTACAATATATATGTGACATAATATGTGCTGATATTAACATTTTATCATTTTAAGTGAAGTGCCGAAGCCTCACTAACACTTAGGTCTCCCTATCTTCCCCACTTTTATTGTTTTAATTTACTCTTATTTGACTCCTCTCAGCCATTCACTGAGAGGAAAATGTATTTATTTTATTTTATTGAGCAACAATGAGCATATTACGTATATATGCCAGTAGTTCAATCTTATCAAAAAGGGTTGTGCAGTCATCACCACATCAACTTTGGAACCTTTCGGCCTGCTTGTACCATTGATGTTGACTCCCATTTCCCCTGCTTCTCTGCCGGGCCCCAGGCACTCATCAATCCAGTTTCCAGGGTCCATAATTCCACCCATCCCGTCTCCCTGTACAGATAAGTACAAACACGAGCAGAGGAGATTTCCATTGTGAAGTAGGTGGATTCTCCACTTTAAATATCATGGCTTGACTATCAGGTCACATTATAATTTTTTATTTATAAAACACGCGAGGAAAAGGATAGTGTATTGTCTGTGCCCATCTACCTGCTCTTCCGTTGTTTCTTCTTCCTTCCTGATGTTCCAGGATGCTGGTTTCTAAATCAGCTCCACTTTGAAGAATTTCCTGTAGCCAATCTTTAAGGCTAAGCCTACTAGCAACACCTTGTCCTCTGTATGAGAATGTTTTCATTTCTCCTTCATTCCTAAGAAGTGGTTATCCTGATACAGATTTTGTGATTGGCCTTCTCTTCTTTCAGCACGTAAAAAAATAACGTGCCCCTGTTTGGGGGCCCTCCCTGACAGTTTCCGATAAGACGCCCACTGTCGTTCCCATTGGCGCACCGCTGTAGGGAACCTGACTTTGTCTCCGGCTGCTTTCAAGATGCAGTCTTTGTCTTTAGCCCGCACATACTTAATCGTGCGTTTTAGGATGTCAGGGTCCCCACACGACCCACGGGGTCAGTGAAGGGACTCCCAGGGCTCAGTCGAGAGTGGGACTTGGGATATAATTGATCACAGCGAAACGATGCAAAGTCCAATCTTCACAGAGAGAAAAGTCCCATGGGGTGAAATCCCCAGGAAAGGTGGGGACACAGAACACGCGGAATTCTCCAGCAATGAATTGTAACGACGGTGTGCAATGCTGTCTACCACGAAGGCTGCTGTGGAGCCACAGTGACACAGCACCCTCCGCGTGGCACCTACCACAACCTCAGGCTCCCGGCAGGAAGTCAGAGCCGCAGCATACACCAAACTGTCTGCTCCGTCTCTTGGAGGGAGCGCGGGGAACCCACCCACAGCTCCCGCTCCCAGGTGCCAATCAGCACCTTATGGCGTATTCCAGCCTTTCCTCTTGCCTTATTTGAAACATCTTTCTCCCGCAGTGAGACACTTTAATCCTTATCTATAATATAGGCTTACATGTTCATTAAGTACGAGTATACCTGGTTTCAGGATAGCTAACAAACCTCCCAAAACAGATTGACCCATGTAGGGTACAAGAGCATGTGGGTTTTGGATGCTTTTTGGTCTTTGGCCTTACAGTTCGGAGCCCTGCTTGCCCAGTCAGGCTGAACCTGCCAGCTGCAGGGTTGGGAGTTTGAACCCACTAGCAGCGCTGCAGGAGAGAGACCTGGCAAACTCCTCCCATAAAAGTGACAGCGATCCAAATTGGTAGGGAGGTGGGTGTGGGAGACCTGGTAGGGCAGGATCAAGGGGAACGTAACAAAGAGGAAGTGCTGAAA